GGGGGGGTGCGTTGAGGGGCGCTGAAGAGGGGATGTGAGCGGGGGTGGGAAGGGCTGGACCCAGGTGTGTGAGGTGGCATGGTCAGCAGGGGTGGACGGCGGGGAGAAGGGGCTGCAGGGAGCAGTGCACGTGAGGGGTGAGCTGGAGGGGCGGGGGGCGGGGTCAGGGATGCGGACACGAGAGCGGGCGGCAATACAGGGGGTTTCGAAGGTCAAGTGTCGCAACACAGAGCGCTTCTGCGGCACCCACATGCGCCCGCTGGCTGCTCGCCCCACACATGCGACGTCCCACGGGGGCGCCATGGACAATGCACGCCCATCTCGCAGCCGCAGGCCCCAGCCGCACGCAGCTGCGCCTCACCGCGCGGGGTCCACGACTGTGACCTCTGGGATCCACTGCATGCAGGCCGCGTGGCACCAGGCCCCAGGTATGGTGGTGGGCTTGAGCGCGCCGCCGGCGACGGGGCACAGGCAGCACTGGGGCTCCGGGGCGGTCGGCTCCTTGAGCTCGCAGGCCCTGCGTAGGGGCGCGCATGTGTGTGTGTGTGTGTGTGTGTGTGTGTGTGCGTGTGTGTATGTGTGTGTGTGTGTGTGTGTGTGTGTGGTCGAGACATGGAGGGAGTGCGAGAGAGTGAGTAATTGTGTGGATGTTGAGTACAACTGTGTTAACGTATACGGTTGAGCAAGTGGTTGGGAGTCTTGCATGTGGGTGAGCTTCTAGCGATCAGCTGGTAAGGTCGGACAGGGCAGGTGTTGCGGCGGGACTGAGGAGTCGGAGCGGGGCCTTGCAGCGCAACGCCTTGAGGGCTGTGCACGCATGTGCGTTGCCCCCCCCCCACACACACACACATACATCACCAACTCCAGCAAATGAATGCACGGACGTGCACATATATGCACACACTCAAACACACACACTCACTTCTGTGCACATACCCACATATCCACCCAAACATCATTCCCCCTACACACACACAAGCACGCACAACGCGCGCACCACAGCCACACTCACACACCTGCACAGCCACATGTCGTCCGGCCCCGGCAGGTCGTGGACGCCATAGCACGACTGGTGCGCGCTGATGCCGCAGCCGTCGCATGACACGAGCCTGTCGCAGTCGTAGTCAACGTCGCTGTCGCACACGGCGCACCGGTCCCCCGCCCACCGCACCTGGCCGGGGGCGCGCGCGAAGGCAGTCGGCAAAGCATCGCGCAGCAAGCGAGCGCGGCGTGAGCGACGAGCGGCGACAGGGGCGCGGCTGTCCGCGTGTGGACGAGCGGCAAGCGGCGCTGCCTGTGGCAGTTCGCAGGCCGAGCGTTGTGGTGGGCGCGATTGCAAAAGTCCCTACACCAGCGCCGCTGCCGAGGCACCCGTACCGCCGGGCAGGACAGAGTGCGCACCGCCCACCTTGATGGGCTTGTACCGCCCCTTTGCCACGTCATACCACGGGTCAAACGGCGGGCCCACTGCGCCAGCCACGGGCAGCCCCGAGGCCTGCGCAACAGCAGCAGCCGCTGCAGCGGCAGCGTTCGCGGCCGCGACCGCCGCGGCGGCCGCCGCGAGCTTGAGCTCGAAATCTTCGCCGCCGTCGGACGCCCAGAGCGCCGGCTGCATGAGCAGCTGCAGCTGCAGCTTCAGGTCGGCTTCCAGGTCCGCCTCGTGTTTGACCCAGGGCGCGGCACCGTGGAGCTGGTGCTGCTGTTGCTGCTGGCCGGGATCGTACGATGGGTCCTGCTCGCTCTTCACGCGCGCCGCCCCGCCTGCGGTTGGCGCGCAGGAGGGGAGGGCGCGGGGGTCAGCTTTTGCCGGCGGCGGCCAGCTGTCGACAGTAGCTCTTTCACGCACGCAACAAGCCAGGTTGTTACAAGTAAAGGCCGCATCAAGCGGCACCAGCACAAAAAACGCACCGCTACGCTGCCCCCAAAATCGACGCGCAGGCTCACGATAGCAGCGCCGCGGCCCTGTGGGACGCCTGGCGCCGCGGCCGAGGCCCGGCGCCGGGGGCCGCGCGGCGCGGCATGCGCTGTCTTCCCTACCGCCCCGCCGCGGCCGGCCGCTTTAGGCGCCCCTGCCCACACCTGCGGGCGCCCGTCCAAACTTGGTCTCGATCCCCCTCTCCTCCAGCCACCGCCCCACGGCAAGCCCGCCACCAGGGCCGCCCGCCTGCACGCGCACGCTCGCCTTCCACTTCTTCGCGCTCGGCAGCCCGCAGTGGATCTCCCACTGCGTCATGCTGAAGGTGCGGTCCTCGTCAGACGCCACGCGCGCGCACGCGCCGCAGCCGCAGAGCACCTTGAGTTCGCTCAGCACCATCACGCCCGCCGAGCCATTGCAGGAGACGGGCACCTCCTGGGGGACGGGAGAGCCGTCCGCCGCGACGACGGGGGACCCTTTCCCTGCGATGTTGGAGGGCTCCCCGGCTGCCGCCGCGGCGCCGGCGCCGGGCGCAGCGGCGGCACGGAGCAGGCCGTCGTCCGAGGAGCGCCGCTTTGGCGGCCGCCCACGGCCGCGTCCGCCGCCGCCGCC